ATAAATGCTTCAACCTTCGTGGTAAAGATACATTTTACCAAATTGTGTGTTTGCTTTGGCAGCACATATACTAAAATTGGAACATTTTACCAAATTGCTATAAATTATGGATAGCTTAAAGGAGAGGAGAATAGGTGGTTTTTGAAGTCTGGAAAACAACATTAAAGCAACCAGTTTTCTATTAAGTTTTAGAAATTCTTCTCAGTGTTATGATCTTAAATCTATCAAACCTGAGTTCTAGAGTACTTGTCGAAGTCTTTCTCATGAATGTTTCTGAAGATGAAGCACTTAATAACTGGGCACAAATGACAAAAGATGTAAAACTAGAAATGGTTAGAGAGCTAATGAGAGTTCATCATGATGTATTTGACAAGGAAATTTGGTTATTTCTGTGACACAACCTCTCAAGATAGTAATTACAATTATGACTGATAACATTATACCAGGACATAACAGAATTTGGGGGATTTTTTTGTAATTCCTAGGACACTTATAATGTATACCCATACAGATACACCACAAAGCATAATACTACTTCTCATTTGATGATGCTCCCCCATGTAATTTAACATATCAGCTAATCCTAATTAGTAAAACCTCTCCCTTTTTACAAGGAAAGGGAATAAATCTTTTGAAAAATTTCAGGGACTCTGAAATTTATCAGTTACTTTTAGGTCAAAAAGACTAATTTAGAATTTGATTTTCAGAAATTTGTAAACAAAAAATCAATAGGTTTTGGACACTTGACCAAATAGGATCACAAATCACTATGAAATAATAGTTAATTGTCTACTCAAGCAAAGCAACAATAAAAGATGTCAAAGGCAAATACAAAGGGTCAGAGCACCTGGGTAGCTCAGGCAGTTAAGTGTCTGTCTTTGGCTCAGGTCATGATCTCAGGGTCCTGGGATCGAGCCCTGCATCAGGCTCCCTGCTCAGCCGGGAGTTTGCTTCTCCCTCTCACTCTCCCTCTGTTCCTTCTCTCTCATACATAAATAAAATCTACCAAAAAAAAAAAAAAAAAAACAATGGGTCATGTGGTTGTAAGCAAAACTTAGCTTTTTTAATCTCCAAAAGACTGTTTATTTGATGATAAAGATGAAGTACAGGAAATTATTTTGATAAAACAAAGTCTTTGCTTTCCAAGTAGATTACTTTAAAAGGGGGGGAAAAAATCATTCACACTATCTTTTCAATAGCAGACCAATAGTCCAAGAAAACTTTGTCCTTTTAACACATAAGAAAGTTGGTTTTATAAAAGTACATTATTGGTATTAAGGGTCAGTTTTAAAATCATTATAATAATTCAATTTTCAGCCAGCTTACCCATACATAAAATTTCTTTTCCATAAACCTTCAACAATTTTCTGTATCTATTTAGGTTCCACTTTTCTTTTTCCTTATTCCAGAACAATCATTTTACTTGAGGACAAAATTATTTTTTTTCCCTTTACCAAAACAACCATGCTCTTCACACATTTCCTTACCCCCCCCCAAAAAAAACCCTCACCACATTGTTTTCCTTATGTATTTTTCATATAGTCCTTTTCTTTCATTATTATTTGTAATAGTTTTGTAAGGAAAAAAAACTTGGTAATTTTCATCTTCATTAGTCTAAATGTTATTTTCTCAATTTCAAAAACTTACAAAGCTTTTCTAAAAAATATAAGGCAGTTGTCCCAAAATAATTCCAGATTTACTCTCAGAAGATAGTGCGATTGCTTTTGCATTACATTTAATAAATATAAACTCTATAATATAGCTAAACCATACACTTTTTGGAAATGACAGTATGAGGTTTACTCAGGTCGACAGGCTCATCCTGACCTATCTGTGTTAGACTAGGGAAGACAGAACAGGCAGGGGCAACAGTATCCCCTCATTATTGATGAAGAGGGTTGCTCTAAGTTAAGTAGGGAGAATAAAGATTTGAAAAACAACTTCTAAACTGAAGGCAGAGTTATAAATACCTGGGAGCCCCCACCAGAATTAACAGCTTTGTAAGTAGTTCTAAGAAATGGAAGAAGTTCTTTCAAATAGATTGCTGCCTGGCAATGAAGCATGAGCCTATCGAACAGTGATTACAGCTTGATCTTGAGGAGTTATCGCTGTGTATGTACAAAACGGAAAAAGTGGTGGGTTTTTTTTTTTTTTTAAAGATTGTATTTATTTATTTGACAGACACAGCGAGAGAGGGAACACAAGCAGGGGGAGTGGGAGAGGGAGAAGCAGGCTCCCCGCCGAGCAGGGAGCCCGATGTGGGACTCAATTCCAGGACCCTGGGACCATGACCTGAGCTGAAGGCAGACCCAGGCGTCCCAGAAGTGGTGGTTCTTATGCTGGCCTTTGAGCTGGCCACACAGACTTTTGCTGCACAATTTACTGTGATATAAGAGCAGTGACTTTCAAACATGCTGTCATTCTACAGTACAAAAGTGTGTTTTATGGCCTGGTACATACGTGTGTTCGTATGTGTATATATATGTATAAGTAGCTGAAATAAGTTTAATAAACATGTATTTTCTATTTCCAGTAAATGTCATGCATTCCTCTTTTGCATTTTATAGGATTTATGAAATTACTTTGTTTATAATCTATAGTGAATTCATTTATAAATTATAGATAAAATAGAAGATATCTATGTAGACATTGACAATACATATATTTTCTATTTATATAAGTGTTAATCATAATTCATCAATGGCCTGGGACTACTTTGAAAAACAAGAAGTTGACAAGTTTGTAATATATAGCCTGAGCTATCTGATTAGTAGGCTCAGGTAGAAAAAATTGTTTATCTGCATTATATTTAATGCTGAGAACTCTGAAGACCTGCCTTTTTAAAAATTAAACCAACGGGGGGTGCCTGGGTGGCTCAGTCGCTAAGTGTCTGCGTTCAGCTCAGGTCATCATCTCAGGGTCCGGGGATCAAGCCCCGCATTCGGCTCCCCGCTCAGCGAGGAGCCTGCTTCTCTCTCTGCCTTTCTCCCAGCTTGTGCTCTCTCTCTCAAATAAATAAAAATCTTAAAAAAAAAAAAAAAAAAAAAAAAATTAAACCAATAAACTTAAACTACCAATTTATCAGAGATTATTTCAGATCATATGAACTTGAAAAACATTTGAGTTTATATGTTTCTGAAAGTATATTTGATTTATATAAATGCTTAATTTCCTTTAAGCCAATTAAATTGAGCTCTTTACTAATTAACTTTGGTAATACCATCTGGAGGTAGAAAAATATCCCATATCTGTAACATATACCATAGACATACACAACATATAGATTCAGATATATTGTAGCTTTTGTTTAGAAATTTTAGCCAAGTCTCAGGTACAAAACTCAAGAGACAATAAAGTTGACCTTGAACAATGTGGGTTGGAACTGTGCAGGTTCCCTTACATGTGGATTTTTTTTTATTTCCCCAATAAATACAATACAGTACTGATGTGGTTTTGGAATACAGGTGAGGTTCGCTGGGGTAGGGTCCAGAGCCCAGGGCCAAGAAAGAATTCTTGAGATATCTTTGGTGCAAAAAAGTGGTTTTATTAAAGCACAGGGACAGGACCCATGGGCAGAAAGAGCTGCAACACTGGGGTTGTGGGGGGTGGCTGATTATATACTGTGGGGTGGGGGAGGTAAGGAAAAAGGGAGGTTTTTCTTTTTTTTTTTTTAAAGATTTTATTTATTTATTTGAGAGAGAATGAGAAAGCGCTCATGAGAGGGGGAAGGGTCAGAAGGAGAAGCAGACTCCCTGCTGAGCAGGAAGCCTGATGCGGGACTCGATCCTGAGACTCTAGGATCATGACCTGAGCCAAAGGCAGTCGCTTAACCGACTGAGCCACCCAAGTGCCCCTATAAATGTATTTTCTCTTCCTTGCGATTTATGTAATATTTTCTGACTTTGTAAGAATACAGTATATAATACATATACAAAATGTTAATTGACTGCTTATGTTATTGGTAAGGCTTATTGTCAATGATGTGGAAAACAAAGCCAAAAGAAAAATTAACTTTCCTTACTACTTACAGCCCACTGACCAGTCCTTGAAACAGGCAGAGTGACATTCTTCTAGGAGCTCAGCTGCCTCAATGTTAATACTTTGTTAAGGGCAAAAGACAATCTTAGCCCGACCCCCAGGATTCTGAGTCTACTATAACATATAAACATTCCTTTAGAAATTTCCTTTATCTTTATCTCCCAAGATACATGTTGGTAATCATCCCCCAAGCATATGACCCACTGATGTACATCTGAAGGATCATGACTCGGGTTTTATAAAACAGTAATAAATGACCTTTTCCTAACAATAGCTAGTCCCTCAAGGTCCTGGCAACCTTGCTTCCAAAATTCCTTAGAGAATTACGCTATCCCTAACCCCCTCCCAACTTGAAAGTATATAATCAGTCACTCCTCATGACCCCAGTGCCCCTCTTTCTGCCCTTGGGTCCTATCCCTGTGCTTTAATAGAACCACCTTTTTGCACCAAAGATGTCTCAAGAATTCTTTCTTGGCCTTGGGCTCCAAACCCCAACACTTTTCCTACATCATCAACAGTAGGCTATTAGTAGTTAAGTTTTGGGGGAGTCAAACGTCATACATGGCTTTTTGGTGCTGTGGGGGTTGGTGTCCCTAACCCCTGCATTATTCAGGGGTTCAACTTAATGGGATCCAAATTGTTCAGGTCAACTAAGTTAATGTTTCCTGCTAAGATGGCCAAAGTCTTTTATTAAAGTTTTTATTTGTATACAGTAAGGATCCTTTCAGAACTTTTTTTTTTTAAGATTATTTATTTATTTATTTATTTGACAGAGACATAGCAAGAGAGGGCACACAAGCAGGTGGAGTGGGAGAGGGAGAAGCAGGCTTCCCGCTGAGCTGGGAGCCTGATGTGGGGCTCGATCCCAGGACTCTGGGATCATGACCTGAGCCGAAGGCAGACGCTTAACGACTGAGCCACCCAGGCTCCCCCCTTTCAGAACTTTTTTAAAAGTCATTTTGTCTTTAGAAGATTCTGCACATAAATCAAAGAATGCATTTCATTGTCTTTCTGAGGTTTGTAATCCTCTCTTTTAAGGGGGCTCCTTAAGGTGGATTTATCTAAAAGTTTCACCAGAATGGCCATTACAATTCCAAATTCTTCAAAAGGTTATGCATTTTTCAAGAAAGGCACAAGATGCTGGTTAAAGAGCCAGGTGGACCCTAACCTGCCTTTGGATTCCCTAAAATGTCTTAAGTATGAGAGGCCTTATTTTTGAACAACTATTCTAAAACGATGTGAGTCACGTGTTTTCCTCCCTTTTGAGTACAATGAGTAACTTACCAGGAAGCTTTAAACAACAGAAACAAAAGCATACTCACCAGGAAGGGTGATGCCTTCATAAAAACAAAAACAGATCCCAAATAAACCCAGAGAGCTCACACACAATACAAAGAGAGCAGAGCTCAAAACCTAAAAGGGACTCACAGCCAGTTATTTTACCAGCAAAATGAGTTTCTTCAGGAATAGCAGAGGAATTGCAATTTGGGACAAGCAAACTATGGCAAAACAATGGCGAGTCCAAAGACACAGAAGGAAGGTCAGCTTTTATTAGGTTTTAGGAGAAAAGTGGGGAGGGTTATTTTGAACAAAAGTTCATTGAAGAAGAATAAGAACTTGAGGGTGTGGCAATTTCTCACTGGCTGCAAGCAATGGTTAGTTCTTATTGCTGGGGCTGAATGGAATCTTCCTTCTTTTTCTTAAAAGCAGGAGATAAAATTCCTGTGAAGATGTCTTACCTTGTCAAGATAAGAGTTCTCTCCCTTCTGCTGGTTATGCAGGCTGCAAGGAGTGGTATGTACATGAGAGCGCCCCCCTTTCAGGGCTTCCTGATTCCATTTTAAATGAGGTTTCCTTTACTCATTTTCACAGGGAAAAGGTGTATGAGGACCCACAAGCCCTAGCCTACTTAATGGGCAATAACCCCTTTGAAGGCAGAGCTCCAGGTGACTGGACTACCTTGGGAGGGCTGGCCAGGCATTGCCAGGGTATCCTCTAAGAAGAGACTCCTGGGAGCCCTGTCTTCTGGAAAAGTTCTGGAACCCCACAGGTAGCAAGTCCAAATGGTAGGGGACTGTCTCTAATTTGCAGCTACTGCCCCAGGGTGATGTTTGGGGGCAGCACCTTCCACACTGAACCTGTGCAGGTATTTGGGGTCAAGACCCAGCTACCCTGGCCTGCTGGGCCCTGGCTTCTTGAGGCTGGCTGAAGGGCTTCCAACTCCAGGTGCCTTGACAGCCCAGTTCAGGGGAGCTGGGAATCTGGAACTTGGCAAGAGTCAGGAGAGCCTGGGTCATGGGTGTGGGCTACTGGAGGTTCAAGGCATCTGCCTCAGTCCAAGCCCTAATCTTCACAGATGCACACGTGGGGTCAAGGGCAGGCCACCACAAAACATGCCACCTCAGCAGATTGGTTATTTTGAGTTAAAGTTCCTTATAAAATGGCCAGTGCAAGAATAATACCCTATACCCTGACCTCCCTTTGTCTCCACAAAGCAAAAAATAAATCTCCCATGTAAAATGTACCTTCCCTTTACCAGGTGGTAAAGAGACCTCAGTATCACCAGAGATCTGGAATTCAGAGCTAAGAAAGCTGTGTAAACAAGCCTTGCTACTTTTACAAATTTTACTACCCCAGCTCAAATTCTGTTAGAATTTCTTGAAAATTGAAGCTTGCAAATATAAGTTTTCTTTGTACTGTCAACTCATCACAGATATATCATTTCTGTGTCTAAAAAAAGCCTCGAAGCTGCCCGCCTTGGTGGTTTCCTTGGATCTCAGTGTTAATATCAGGCCTCTCTGTGCACGGAATTAAACTTTATCTCCTGTTAATCTGTGTCTTGCTGATTTAATTTTTTTTTTTTTTTTTTTTTTTTTTAGATTATTTGACAGAGTACAAGCAGGGGGAGCAGCATACGGAGAGGGAGAAGCAGACTCTCTACTGAGCAGGGAGCCTGATGCGGGGCTCGATCCCAGGACCCCAGGATCATGACCTGAGCCAAAGGTAGACGCTTAGGCAACTGAGCCACCCAGGCGCCCCATGTGTCTTGTCAATTTACTTCTTAGATCACCTGGGAGAATCTGGAAGGGCAGAGCGTAATTTTTCCTCCTCAACAGCTGTTGAGAGTCGGCAGGATAAACGCTAACTGGCCGGACTGCTGCAGCTGAGAGATGGTGGGACATCCGACGAAAGCTGACAGAAGGGAAGAAGCCTCACCACCACATCACCTACTGGATCTCTGCCTGCACGGGCTCAATTTAGGTTAGTAGGAGAAAATATTTGTGGAACTAGTTCCTTGGCTTTAAGGACTCTGGTGATGTTGGTAGAGCTCCTGTGGCTTGAGAGGTCCATTTCCACCCAGAGATGGTCACAGTTTTTCCTTTTGTCTTTATTATGTCCTAAGAGCTTAGCTTTGTGACTAGTGAGAATATTCTCTCTGGTCTCCACCACTCTAAGGATATACTTTGGGGTGCACCTTGGTGGCCCGTCAAGTCGAGTGGGGTTCTGAGACTCACACTTACAAGCAGTACTCTGATTGTCTGCCCGTGCCAGCTCACAAGGGAGTGTGTTCTAAGAGGTCCCAGCCCAAAAAGGACATTTGTCATCTTAACCTTTGTTAGTTCTGGAAAAGTTTCATTACATTAGTGCCTGTCCCATGTCACTGATTTTTGACAGGTGTCTCACATTTTTGTGAGAGACTTGAGGCTACCGTTTTCTCTACACCATCTTTACTGCCTGAGCAATGGAGGCCTTTGCTGTCTTAGACTATTTTGGGGAGTAAAATTTTAGGTCATGGGGGATGCATCATTTATTCCTTCTACAGGCATGCCTCTTGTGTCCATGGTCTGAGCCTGGAAGGTTGCCTCTGTGTCTTTCCACAAAAACAATTATTGGTTGAGTCACTGTTGAGATTAATATCCTACTCATCATTGCCAGATAATGGAGGCTTTAAATTAATTATATTTTAATGAAAAAAAAATTAGATTTAAGACAAAAATGAATGTCCACATGGAATGTAAATTCCCCTTCTCAGAATCTGGCCCCATTTGCCTATTTTAATTTCCCTTTCCCAACAAGATTACAGAGAGCACTGTGTTTTAATCTCAAGGTGTAAAGTATACAAGTGTTAAACTTAAAAATAAATTGCAAAAAAAAATAATTTTTTTTTTAATAAAAATTAAATTGCCAGTTATTTTAGCATCAAAAGATGGTTTTTTTGGAAGTAGCAAAAACTTCCAACCTGGGGCAAGCATAAGGCAAGTCCTTGGAACAAAGGAGAAAAATGACCTTTTATAGAGCAAAGTGGGGAATTGGGATGGCTGTTGAAAACAAAAAGTCCATTGGAGTAAACTTGGTGCTGGAAGTATAATTAATGGCTTTTCATCGGCTGAGTTGTGACGGTCTCTTATTGGCTGGGCTGTTGCTTGGGGGAGGAGAAAGCCTTCCTTCCTCCTGCTTGGAATGTAAAGTCCTATCCCTGAGCAAGGTCTAGTCTTTTCCTGTTGGGTCTGCAACTGACATCCAGGAGTGGTAGGATGTGAGAGCTCTCCTTTCCAAATCTCGTAACTCCATTCTGGTGAGGTTTCCCTTTATTAATATTCACACAGGTTGGGGCGCCTGGGTGGCTCAGTCGGTTGAGCGTCTGCCTTCGGCTCAGGTCATGATCCCAGGGTCCTGGGATCGAGCCCCGCGTCGGGCTCCCTGCTCAGCGGGGAGTCTGCTTCTCCCTCTCCCTCTGCCTGCCTCTCTGCCTACTTGTGCTCTCTGTCAAATAAATAAATAAAATCTTTAAAAAAAAAAAATATTCACACAGGTTATTTATATAAATGCTGAAAGGCGGGAAATGAACTTTTTAAAAATCGCCAAAGACTGGCAGTAAAACTTGCTTTGCTCCTACTTTCCAGGGCTCTGTCATCAGGCTGCCAGCTTCAGGCATTTCTGTGCAGTGTCTTTTGTAGGTGTATCCTAGGACACGCCCACTCCCCACACCACCAGACAGACAGACACACATACACAATTTGTGTCCCCTGGACAGCAGCAGATATTTTAAATTATAAAGCTCCTTTACCTCCATTTTCAGAAGTTCCTACCAAATTTAGAGAAGAACTAGAAAGATTAGTCGCCATTCACCATACCCTTCTTCACAGAGAAAACTGATGGCCAAAATGTCTCCTAGGCCCTCTTGTAAAGGATCAGCGGAAGGTCAATGTTCAGGGGCTAATAGAAACCATGGTTGGTATGTGTACTCAGAAGGCTTTTGTTAAAATGCTTTGTACAGACTTTACAAAGGCATAAATATTTTGATTCCCATTTTAGTTAAAAATCTCCCTGATATAAAGAAGCAAGTTTAAAAAGGTGGGTCAGTCCCTTGATACTTAGGTTGTAATGCAGTTCTTTGTGGGAATTAAAAATAGCCGCCTTTATCTTGCAAATCTCTACAAAACCAGAAACGCAACTGTGGAAACAAGTCAAAGCCCACCTATTTTACCAATCCCCAAAGTGTGCCTTGTCTTCTCAAATGCTTGTAGGTATATATTTTTTTAAGATTTATTTATTTTAGAGAAAGAGAGATTGGGGGGGGGGGGGGAGGGCATGTGGGAGGGGCAGAGGGAGAAAATCTCAAGCGGACTTCCCGCTGAGCATGGAGCCTGAGGCCGGGCTCAATCCAGAGATCATGACCTGAGCCAAAACCAAGAGTCCACCATCAACTGATTGAGCTATCCAGGACCACTCAAATGCTTGTAGGTATTATAAAAGATCATAATTTTGGAACAAAATTATGTAAAGGTAACTTGCAATTGCCCCAAAATTCTTAGGGAAAAAACTTTGCATTCTTTCTCTGTCCTTTTAAATTATAAATTTTATTGTGTCTTTGAAATGTAACACCATGTACAGTTACCTGAGACTGAATAAAAAAAATAAAAGGAAAAAGGCCTTTTTAAAATATAAACTGCTGGGGCACCTGAGTGGCTCAGTCAGTTAAGTGTCTACCTTCGGCTCAGGTCATGATCTCAGGGTCCTGGGATGGAGCCCCATATCGGGCTCTGTGCTCAGCGGGGAGCCTGCTTCTCCCTCTTTCTCTGCCTGCCATTCCCCCTGCTTGTGCTCTCTCTCACTCTATCTCAAATAAATAAAATATTTAAAATATAAAATAAAAATAAAATACAAACTGTTAAAAGGGCTTTTGTGACCAAACTCTAGCACAGCTTCCTTAAATTTATTGCAAGGGGCAATACAAATCTTAAAAGTTTTCTCCACAGGGGCGCCTGGGTGGCTCAGTTGGTTAAGCGACTGCCTTCGGCTCAGGTCATGATCCTGGAGTCCCGGGATCGAGTCCCGCATCGGGCTCCCTGCTCGGCGGGGAGTCTGCTTCTCCCTCTGACCCTCCTCCCTCTCATGCTCTCTGTCTCTCATTCTCTCTGTCTCAAATAAATAAATAAAATCTTAAAAAAAAAAAAAAAAGTTTTCTCCACAAATAGTGAAAGACATTAGCCATCTGAGTGAATAAACTTAATTTATTCCAATTAGTATATAGAAAGTAGTGAATTTTATATTGTTTTAAGCAGAAGGTATAAGATCTTGGCTTTATGTGTATGTATGTACATTATAGATATGTTTTTTTTTCTACCTCCAGATAATATTACCAAAAGTAACTTGCAAAAGAGCTCTATTTAATTGGCTTAAAGAAAGTTAAACACAGGGGCGCCTGAGTGGCTCAGTTGGTTAAGCATCTGCCTTCAGCTCAGGTCATGATCCCAGGGTCCTGCGGTCGAGCCCCACAACAGGCTCCCTGCTCAGTGGAGAGCCTGCTTCTCCCTCTCCCTCTGCTGCTCCCCCTGCTTGTGCTCTCTCTCTCTTTCATAAATAAACAAAATCTTAAAAAAAAAAACAAAAAAAAAACCGCTTGTATAACTTTAGTATTCATAAAAACTCTCAAAAATAGAACAGAAATAATCCAAATGAATTTCAACTTCATGTGACCTGAGAAAATATTTAGTATTAAAGGTAATGTAGGGTTATTGGTTTAATTAGAATAGCCATGTCTTTAGAGTTTTCTGCATTAAATATAAGACTTTGATCCTACCTGAGTTTACTAATCAAATAAGTTATTATCCCAGTTACAAAATTTGTCAGCAAAAGAACTTAGAATGATAACTGATTTTGTTTAATATCTCCTGAAGTTTTCTTGGGTAATCTAAACATAATTCCTGGGAGCAAATTATATAGATAAGTGGAATAAGAGTTTATAAACTTTTTAGCAACAATGATATTTAATGGTATCTTAAAAAAAAAAAGACTTGCAAAACTTTTTGGTAATCTGAAATCTTAACTCATTTAATTTAGCAAAATTTTAAGTTGAATTCATTGAGTATCCAGATCATTTCCAAATAACATAATGAAACATTAATTACTAAACATAGTTTATCCACTTTTGGCTTCCCTATTAGTAACATATTTTGTGCTTTACTGAGTGATTGTACTATGAAGAAGTATGTGTTTCTAGAAATTATAAAATGTATTCATAAATTTGCCAAATTAAAAAAAATGGTATAATGGTTCACAATTGCTTGCCACTTGATTTTCACTAGGAATTAAGGTTTCTAAGAGTTAAGAATAGTAAGTAATATATGTAGTTAAAGTTACTAGATATAATAAGGGAACCATGTCCATATGCAGGAAAAGCAGGATGTATGCTTTTGGTAAAAGAAAGTATGAGGAAGAGAAATGCTTTTTTGTTGAAGGAAAGGAAAGGAATTCTGTCCTAAAGAAGACTGAAAAGGAAAATATAAGACAAAATCTGAATGTAAAAAATGAAGTTGTAAAAGGTTTATAAAAAATGAATCTTAAAAAAGGAATTTTATGTGTGATAAGAACTGAATAAGATTGAAATAAATTTAAGTAAATGAGTTTTAATGTCAAAAGTACACTGGTGCAAAACTAAAGTTTGGGTTTCTCTTTGTTAAAAGGATGAAGTTTTCTTGAACAATTGGTCTGCTTTAGATAAGAGATTATAAAAGGTTTTGTGTTTTTTGTTTTTGTTTTTTTTACCTTTTAAAGTTATCTGCCTAGAAAATAAGGATGTTATGTTTTATCAAAATACTTTGCTGTATGATATCTTTATCAGATCTGTGATTTTCAAGGAATGCTGAGTCTTCTTAATACCACAAGCTAAGTTTTGCTCACAACTATACACCTTCTGTTTTTGCCTTTGAAATATTTTATTGTCACTTTGGAAACATAACTATTGTTCCATACTGGTCTGTGATGCTATTTAAACATATTTTCAAACCTTTTAATAAATTTTTATTATTGAAATATACTTGACATACAATATTGTATGAGTTTCAGGGGCACAACAGAGTGATCAGTAACCATATGTTATATGATGCTCACCACAGTTGTAGCTACCATCTGTCACCACCCATCACTATTACGGTACCATTGACTTCAGGCTCCATGTTGTACCTTTTATGTCTGTGACCTGTTTATTCCACAACTGGAAGCCCGTACCTCCCACTCCCTTCATTTTGCCCATCCTCTCACCCCCCTCCCCTCTGGCCTCTACCACTTTCTTTGGTTTTATGGATTTGATTTTGTTTGTTCATTTGTTTCTTTTATTTTTTTAAGGTTCCACATATTAGTGAAATCATATGGTATTAGTCTTTCTTTGTCTGACTTCTTTCACGTAGCATTATACCTTCCAGGAGCATTCAAGTTGTTGCAAATGGCAAGTGAAATTTTTTTTCTTTCATATGGCCTGTTCTCTCTACTTAAAGAATTCCCCTTAACATTTCTTTTTTTTCTTTTTTTTTTTTTTTAAAGATTTTATTTATTTATTTGAGACAGAGAGAATGAGAGACAGAGAGCATGAGAGGGAGGAGGGTCAGAGGGAGATGCAGACTCCCTGCCAAGCAGGGAGCCCGATGCGGGACTCGATCCCGGGACTCCAGGATCATGACCTGAGCCGAAGGCAGTCGCTTAACCAACTGAGCCACCCAGGCGCCCTCCCCTTAACATTTCTTATAAGGCTGGTATAGTGGTGATGAACTCCTTTAACTTTTGTTTGTCTGGAAAACTTTTAATCTCTCCTTTAATTCTGAATGATACGCTTGCTGGATAGAGTATTCTTGGTTGTAGGTTTCTTCCTTCCAGCACTTTGAACATATCCTGCCCCTCCCTTCAGGCCTGCAAAGATTCTGCTGAAAAATCACCTTATGAGATTTCACTTGTATGTTACTGTTTGCTTTTCTCTTGCTGCTTTTAAGATTCTCTCCTCATCAGTAATTTTTACCATTTTAGTTATTATGTGTCTTGGTGTGGACTTCCTTGGGTTTATCTTTTTTTTTTTTTTTTTTTTTCCTGCTTCCTGGAGCTGGATATTTGTTTTCTTCCCCAGATTAGGAAAGTTTTTCATTATTATTTCTTCAAATAAGTTTTCTGCCCACTTCTCTCATTCTCTTCCTTCTAGGATCCCTATAACATGAATGTTATTAGGCTTGATGATATAGCAAAGGTCCCTAAGCCTGTTCTCATTTATTATTTTTCTTTTTACTGTTCAGCTTGTTTTCCATTACCCTGTCTTCCAGATTAATGATCCATTCTTTATAATCTAAACTGTTTGATTTTTTAATTTTTATTTTATTTATATTTTTCAGTTATTCTTCAGCTCTAACTCTATTTTTTAAATATATTTTTTATCTCTTAATTGACATTCTCACTGAGTTCATTCATTCTTCTCAAGTCCAGGGAGTATCTTTATGACCATGACTTTAATCTCTTTATCAAGCATATTGCTTGTCTCCATTTCATTTTGCTCTTTTTCTGTAGTACTGTTTTGTTCTTTCTTTTGGGAGATCTTTGTTTCCTCATTTTCTCTCTGTGTTTGTTTTTATGTATTAGGTAGATCAGCTATGTCTCCTGGTCTTGGCAGTGATGACTTGCTCCCTGTGAGGCCAGCTAAGCTGTGGGAACTGTGGGTGTAAGGGTAGGTGTGGTTATCTCCCCTTTGTCCCAGGGCAGGAGTCCCTTTAGAGGGTCGCTGGCCCCAGCCAGTGTTGCCTGCCAGGTGTGGTAGGGCAGGAGCCACTTTGGAGGGGTGTCTACCAAAGCCCCTGGATTGGGTGGGGCAGATCTGCAGGGGAATGCTGAGGTGGGGCATGCAGTGCTAGCAGGGTAGATGCAGGATGTTAGAACTGGCTCCTGCAGGTGCCCAGCTCTCGAGGCTGAAGGAGGGCAAGAAAAATGGCACCCACCCACACCTTTGTTCCCAGAGAAATCTACTACAGATCCTGCCCCTCCGCGGCACATGTTCTGAGATGAATAAATGAATCTCCTTCATATATACCCCAGGCACTTTTCAAACTGCTACTTTGTTGCTGTCTCAGGCCAAGTTATTTATTGTCCTGGTTCTTTAAGGGCAGGGACTGGATTTCCTGTCCTCCTCCGGCTCTCCCAGAATTAAGCACCACTGATTTTTAAAGCTCCTGGAATTAGCCCCATAGATTTTCAAAGCCAGAAATTATGGGGAGTCATCTTCCCAGGAGGTCCCCAGGGGGTGGGGATGCCCAATGTGGCCTCTGATACCCTCACTCCTCTGTGCTTAGGCGGTCTCTCCCATTTGTGGTTGGTCCTGCTGGGGTTTGGTTCCTGACCACGTCTCTACCCCTCTTACCCCTTTTGATGTGGTCCTCTCTTTATGACTAGCTGTGGAAGATCTTTTCTGCCAGTGTTTGGGTCATTTTCGGAGTTCGTTGTAATAGATGCCTCAGTGTGTGCGTGACGCAAGGTGAGCTCAGGATCTTCCTACTTTGCAATTGTCCCCCCACTCTCCCACACCTTTTGATATGTTTTGCCAAACTTTCCCAAATCATATTCTAAAATGAAGTCTATTGACCACAAACTAACTTTGAAGTTTTTTGGAGGGTCCATGATACATTTAGAAAAATTTGTCCTCCTCAAAAAAGAGAGATGAAACTAATTAGACTTCTTTGGTGTATTAAATTACATGGGAAACATTGTCAAATAAATAATGGTAAACCTGCTTTGATTACATTTGTGTAGATGTATGTTGTTAAAGCAAGTGTAGAAATAGTATAAAATTCCTAAAAATCTAATACATCCTGGTATGTTATCACTTGTAATGTTACTTATCTTGAAGTGTATGTCACAGATAGCCAAATTTTCTTTTCAATTGTGGTATAATTAACTCGTAATCAGATATTTAATCATTGTCCTTTTTAAGGCCTGTTATTTACAGATAGCTATACTTTTACTCAAAAGCTTTTACAAAAGTGTTCTTGCAAAAATGCTGCATTTTCAAGATTTATTGATTTATAAAAAATCTCTAGGATACAAACTTCTGATAACCTTAAGATAATAAAACTGAACTGGTAAAAAAAAAAAAAAAATTCCAGAATTAATTAAAACACTGCATTCAAGCCAAACAAAAATTAATTACATGGGACTGAATAAACTGAGGGGGACTATAAGTTATATGACTTTTGGTTTGAAACGTTGCTGAAGTTTTTAATGTTTTTCCAGATTTAAAGAAACTTTCTCTTAAGCTGATTTACACTTTTGCAAGCAGAATTCAAACACTTCTCCTTACCTAATCCCTTCAGAATTTGGAAACTGTGAGTATTTTTATATTTTTATGGCACTATATTTATTTGTATAAGTTTAAGGAACTGAGGTTGGCTTTATGGAACCAATAAAGGGCCTCGGAAGTATCAGCCTGATGCCTTGCTTACCAGGTAACCAGCAGCCTTACCAGGTACATTAAGGTCACTTCCTGAAAGGTGCAAGAACCTAGGATATTTTGGGGGCCTTGAGAAAAGAGGAAGTAACACTAATCTGTGGGTATTGCAAGTGAAGTCTGATGGGCAAACACTTGGCCTCTTTGCCTTAAGAGGCCGTTAAAGTTCAATCTGCAGATTCCTAATGAAAAGTTCTAGCAAAGAAAATTTAAAAGAGCCTGTAGGATCCATCACTCTTTTTGGTGTCCTTATGTAAAGAATCAGGCCAAGTTTATTAAAAGTAAACTTATTTTATAAACAAATTAGTCTTAATTTGGCTAACTTAGAAAATGAGGATGACTTCAGAGAAAAATTATGTGTCAGTAACATTTTCATGGTTATTAGATTTTAGTTCTATTGATTGTCTTTGAGATTTTGTTTTCTACCTGTAAACTAGATTCTGAATTCTAATTTCCTCCAACGTCTGGCTACAACTCTCCAAACTAATATTTCTAGTATTTCCCCCATCATTTTGACTTGGAATCATTGAGAACTAAAACTGACCTTTTTCCTCAAGCCCGGCAAACTGAAAATGGATGACTTGATGTAACTTTCAGAGAAATCACAGTAACTCATATAGACAATGTTTGTGCCTGTTACTCTATGGGCCACTCAAGAAATCACCAGAGACATTCAAACAACAAACCAGAAAAATTTGTCCAACTGCCACAGCCTGTCTTCACTCAATCTGAAAGTACTTTGAGCCTGACATCTATGCAGGCGGTTGTGGGTAGCCTGAGTTCCACAGCCCTGGAGGGCCCAGCTGCACAAGGCCACCTGACCAGGCATGGTCTGCACATGCTTGGGCATTGCAGGTCCGGTTAGCCAGGGACCTGGGACCGGACACGTGTTTTGAGAGGTCCGCTCATGGGAGGGGCCTGTTGGAGATACAAGGTTTCTACCTACTTCCAAGCCCTTACCTAAAAAAATGTGCATATACCCCCAAAGGTGTAGCTGGAAGAATCTGGACTGCCTTGACAGAGCAGAGCTGGGAATCCTGGCTGGGGTTTTCTCTAATAACAGATACCTGGACGCCTCGGTTCCTGGAGATGTTCTGGACCTCATCAGATAGTCCAAATGGGGACTTACTATCCCCAATTTAAAGCTGCTGCCTCAGAAATATTTTTGAAGGGAGGGCTCTCTCCACCCTGAGGCCATTCAGAAAGTTGGGGCCTAGCAGGAGCTCCACAGGACAGGTGTGTCCGAGCAGCCCAAGGGTGGCAAGCACTGAGTTTACTGCACATGCATAGGCCAGCACAGGTCCAGGTAGCCGGGGACCTAGAACTGGGCAATGTCATGCAAGGCCGGCTCACAGGAGTACGCTATTGCATGTACCTGGCATCCTTCTATTTCTAAGCCTGAATCTGCACAATTGCACATGTTCCTGCTAAAGCAGAACTGGAGAAATCTGGACTGCTTTGCCAGGGTGGGACCGGGAGGGCTGGCTAGGGTCCTCTCCTATAACAAACTCCTTGGAGACAAAAGAGCCTTGTTTGCTGGAGAAGCTCAGACTCCATCCAAATGCGGATTGACGGTCACCAATTTAAGGCTGCCTCCTCAGAAAGCTCTCAGTGGGTGGGCTCTCCATCCTGGAGGCTAAGTAGGTGGTCTGGTACGGTCTGTAGGGCACCGCAGCCAAGGGCCGGCTGACAGGGTATGGACTGCACATGCTTGGGAGGCCAGGGACCTGGAACAGGACAATGGCAGGCAAGGCTGGGTCCCAGGAGGGGGTTATTGGGGGTACCTGGAATCCACAAATGCACCTATTCCACTTGAAGGCAGAGCAAGAGGAATCTGGCCTGCCTTACCGGAGCTAAACCGGATGAACTGGCTGACATACCTTGAATAAGAGACCCCTGGGAGCCTGGACAGCTACAGCAGCCTGGGATCCCAGCAAACAGTAAGTACAATGGCGACTGACTTTTGGCCATTTCAGTGGATGCCTGAGAGCTATTTGGGACGTGAGGGGGGAGGTGCTCCCTCCACCCTTGAGGCGATGCCAGTGGTTGGGTTTGGGCTTTGATTCCATGGGCCTAGGAGGGCCCCGGCTGCCAAGCATGGCCGAGGGCGTGCAGACCACTCCTGCTGGGCAGCCAGGTCAGGGGAGCCGGAATTCTAGGACCGGGTGTTGTCGGCCAAGGCTGGGTCGCAGGAGCAGGCTGTTGGTGGTACCTTGCATCTGCCTGGGTTCTGAGCCCTAACCACACAAATGCACATACTCCCACCGAAGGCTGTTCTGTGGTGGGAGACAAATAATGCTCACGGACTGATCTTGTCTTTGCGCAGTGTATTTAACACAGGTCCACTGTAAATTTCACGAGCCAATAGCACACAGTATAATGTCTTCTGTTAGCCGATAAATTCATAACCTACTCCAACCCAGTGTTAGATTAATGACACTGTTGTTCCAGGCAAGGTGAGATGAAAGGAGCAAAGTCCAATTTAAATTGAGGTGTAGGGCGCCTGGGTAGCTCAGTCGGTTAAGCATCTGCCTTCGGCTCAGGTCATGATCTCGGGGTCCTGGGATCGAGTCCCCCATCGGTCTCCCTGCTCCTCAGGGAGCTTGCTTCTCCCTCTGTGTTCTGCAGCCTCTCTCTCATTAATAAACAAAATCTTTTAAATAAATACATAAACTGAGGTGTGCCTTTAGAGGCACTGGCACTTGGAAGAGAAAGCTTAACCAGCCAAGAGTGGACATGCCAGCGACCAGTACAAAGGTAAGAGCCTCTGTTGATAAAGCACATTGCTAGAGAACAAGGGCGCTGGTGATGACCAGCAAGATGATCTTCTCGCCTCCGCATGGCTTTTGTTCCTGTCAGTAAGAGTCCCCTTATCTCAAAAGGACCTAATTGCCCCAAGGTCTTCAGAGACCTGTTTAGATCAGCAAAGCGTAGCCTTGCCCAGACTGAACGCTCTGGATAGTCCTCACACTCAGTAGTTACAGTCTTCTGTCCCCTTGCCATAGTTGCTGCTTCCTATGTTTTTATTGTTAAGCCCTCCCCCCCATGGGGTCCCTCAGCTGATGTACCAAGTTCCTATGGGTAGGAACAGATGAGATGATGACATCCTGACACAATTTTCTTCATTGTTCTATCAAAACCGCTTTTGTTCTAAAAACAACTGTTTTCAGTTCTTGTCATAAACTAGTGGATTTGAAATCAAATCAAGCCAATATACAATAATCCATCCAGTGATTTCAAATCACTCACATGCTTATTTATATTCAGGGCCTAATGTCCTGTAAAAACCTAAGTTCACAAAAATATCCACCCACCCTGGGACTCTACGTCACATTCTTAATCACAAAAAAACATATTTGGGGAGTATTTTTCCCTTGACACAGACACATTTACACCATAGTTGAATGAACAGTTTAAGCAACCATATTCCTAATTATGACCAATCTAAGCCTAACAAGGAACTCTTTACCACGATAGCATATCCAATCTTCAAGCAACCAAAAGATAAGTTTCTTAAACCAGGCAGTTTAACAATGACATTTCCAAGGAAAGATCATTTTTACCGAGCTCCAGGGAGTACGCACTTGCATGGCCCCGTCAGGCACATGCCCGACTGCGTAACATCAGAATTCAAGGCGGTCATTATCTAGGGAAGGCATGCTTTTGTTCTCTTTCCAATTTTGCGAAGTTATTTTTACTTTATTAGTCCCATCTTCCCAATGTTCCTTTACTTAAGTTTTCTAAAGCATGATTTACATTTATTAATTTTAAGAGGTTCAATGTGAAGTATTTCTCCAGTTATTTTAATAGGCCCTTTATCTTGGCCTCAAATAATATTTTTTCCTTCTGTTGTCACATTCATTACCTGTTCTGTTTTTACGCATCCCATTGTGTTGGGTTCATATTTTTCCCTTGACTCCCAATAGGTTAGGGTGAGTTTGGGCTTAGAGTATACTATCCTGGTCCACTTTCCCATATTACATGTAACTAGTTGAGGAGGCGTCAAGGCCGTAGTCCTCAGGACTTGTACTACACGTATGTCCAGAGGTCTTGTACTAATAAAGTTATTTTGGATCCATTCCACCAGCATATCCTTAAGTACATTTTTTCCTTCTAACATAAGGTGGGTTTCTGTGGCATTCTGATATTGAGAAGACACAAAAGTGTGGTACCCCTATGTCACCTGCCTCTAAGAGCCAATATTGTTATTTTCACAGTCACCCATTGAATCACAGCCCCTAGAATGTATGATATCTACTTTACTTCTGCCTGGTTGTCTCTTATCTCAGGTGACCACTATTACCCCAAGATTATAGCTGTTCTAAGAATATTCCACATATCAGCCAACCTCAATGGCAACAATTCACAATCTACATTCAGAGAAACATCTTCTGGGGCGCCTGGGCGGCTCAGGCCAGGAAAAGGAAGAGCCTGCTTCTTCCTCTCTCCCTCCCCCGGCTCATGTTCTCTCTCTCTCTTACTTTCTCTCAAATAAATCATCTTTAAACATATATATATATATCTTTTATGTCTTTTTTAGTATTATGTTAGTTTTAGCATTTTCTGCTTTATGTCAAATTTCCTTTGCTGTATTTCCGTGTGAAATTCTGTTTTTTAATATATTGCTAATTTGATCCACTTATGTGTCCAACAGTGACAAAGCTGCCATTGCCAGTGTGTTAAATTCAGATTGGCTTCAAAATTTTTTATTTAAAGATTTTTAATTTATTCATTTGAGACACAGATATAGAGCATGAGCGGGGGAAGAGGCAGAGGCAGAGGGAGAAGCAGGCTTCCTGCTGAGCAGGGAGCCTAATGCGGAGCCCGATGTGGGGCTCGGTCCCAGGACCCTGGGATCATGACCTGAGCCGAAGGCAGACGCTTAACCTACTGAGCCACCCAGGCGCCCCTGGTTTCAAAATTTTTGAAACAATGTGATTTAATCAATTTGGAAGTGAGAAAAAGCAGCTACTGTTTTTCCTCAGGTAAACTTCTTGCCAGTCTGATAAGGAATTATAAGGGTTTCTTTCTTTTTAGTGAAGCTGTTATTGGCATAGTGGTAAACTGCACAGTAGCAAAGATGCACACAACTGAGGACAGTTTGGGGCTCTGTATCTGGTTGAAAGTCCTGAATATAAAATTTCAGGGTGTAGGCAATTATATCAGTTCCAGTATGACCATGAGAGGTCTTATTAACGTGGGTTCCCATATTCTTGGAGTAGAAATCTTCGGTGTGAGATAGAAGCCTAATGTGTACCACCAAGGATAATGATATGTTATATGCTAAGTTTCCTGTGTGTCCTCTATACACCTTACAAGTTGTCTCTTTTTTCAAAGTCTGGAGACGGTGACCTTGGACCTATTGTTAATTTTCTAATACGTGACAATGGATTATACAGTGTAAGTTGAGAGTGTTGTAAATGATCATTTTTTGGCCTATTCATATTTAAATATATAATAACCCATTCGGGATATTCAGCTGCTACTCTTTTAGAATAAACTGCTGCCACACAAAGAAATCAGGAATTAAATTGGGGTCATTTCCACAGTCTCTGCCATGTATCCAATATTGCACTCAACTCAGTAAGATAAGGGAAAAGTGTAAGTCTGTACTAACCAGACTTGGCCTGTATGCTGGGTTGTATTACCAAGAGACAATTAGTATTTCATGTCAATCTTTATGATCCAAGTCAGCGTCAAATAGGAAGTGTTGATCAGGATCCTCATTGATTCTTGTGAAGATTGAAATGGAGGTTACCACTGCCTCATCAGCTTTTCTTAGTATTTGGTTTCTCCATTGATTGAAGTTTTCCCAGGAAGTAGATGGTGCTGATAGTGAAGGGAGGGGTGAAAAGGCTGAGCTTGGTGATGCTGGTAATGCAGTTAAGTCTTCAGTCACAATAAGGTGACCAAAATGGCGATCCATGGAGGAATAAGAGGATGTCACAGACTTGAGGTGTATCTGGAGCAGAATGTTCCAGTTTGGAACAGTGGCATGACTGCTATTGCTGGGAGATATCAGAGAAGTATCCATAGCTTTACTGAGTATGATATACAAAGTGACTGTCAGGGAGCAAGAATTCCTGGCCCCTCAAAGGTCCTTCTAGCTGGACTAAGAATCAAATTGACATGAGAGAGATTAACAGGAGAAAACAGAATCTAATTGCGTATGTATGGGAATCCACATAGACATGGAAATTCCAAAGTTAGGCAAAATGAAGTATATATGTCATTCAGAACTTAGGAGAAGGGGGCAGGTGTGTGGGGTTTCAGAGGAAAAGAATGCACTTCACAGGGCAATATGAAGAGCAGGTGTTTGGTAATTAGATGTTTGCCTTTCCATGCAGATGGGCGCTCAGATAAAATTTACTTCTGTTAACCCTTATTCTAGCAAAGACCACCAATTTAGATTCTTCTGGGTGGTTAAGGACAAAAGTTTCTCTTGAGCCCACATGATTTCAAGTGCCTTCAGAACAAAATAGTATGTATGCCAAAGTGGTACATTCTGGGGTGACTGTCCTGAACCCCTTCATGAACAATAGGCAAAAAAGGATGGCCTGCAGGCAGCATGGTACGCTGACCTGTTTAGTAGTTATAGGGTTAAAGATGCATAGTGGAGTCAGGACTGCAAAACGTAATGTCCTACAAATTTGTAATTCTTCCTTGTTGTTCTTGCCATCTAAGGAATTCTATTGTTGTCATGGTCATTATTGACCATCTTGGTGCAAGCATAATCGCTCTGCATTATACTATGCTAAATATTAGTCTAGTTTTGACAAAATATAGAAGGGTGTTCTACATGGCTAAGACTTTTATAGAGGCATATTGTGGTCTTTATTTTGCTGTAGTATGCCTTTTCTTTTGGTCACCCAGTAGGTGTTATTATGGCAGGTGGTATGTCCCCAGTACCATATATGTTTTTATGTTTTTCAGTTAATACTTTCAACTGAGATTCTGGAGTGCTGTTAATACTAATTCCCATCTCTGTCGGTGCCTGCAATATTAATTCACTGGAAGTTTTTCCACCCCTTCTATATCTGCCTCTCAGATTGTTTTAGTCTAAGCTTTCATATTCTAGATTGTTAGTAAGTAACTTAAGCTTTTGCTTAAGCAAGCCATGATACCTTTCAACTGATGCAGAGGCAGTTGGGTTACAGGGTAAGAGGAAGTTCCATATTATGTCTTGTTTCTTAGCCCATTCTTGTATTAGCTTTCCTGTGAAGTGGGGGCCCTGAGCTGATTTTATGATGGTTGGAAAACCAGAGCAAAAAAATCCAGATTCCTAAGGCTTCGATGGTGGATTTTTTTAATCATTTCTCCTGCAAAGATAGGGTAATCCTATTCCTATGTGCCTACAGTGGTGCGTGCATATGGTTTATTCTCTGATTTAGGCCAGGGTTCCATGTAATTAGTTTGTGTAATTTGGAAAGATTGTTATCTTTGACCTTACCCAGATGACTCATTAATGTAATGAAGAATGAATGAATGAATAAGCTTCAAAATGTTGATATTCCTCACATTTCCTAATTTAAAATTGAAGCTATCTGGGAGTTCTATTCGTGTGTCTTTTTGCCAGCAGTGTTCCAGTGCCATGTATGCCTGCGTGGCCTGTTTGGTCACGTGCCCAAGCAGTGGTCCTCTCCGTGGGTGTATCTGGGAGTCCATGTTTTATGTTTTGTTGTCCTTCTTGCTTAGATAGGCTACCTGGTTATTAAAATTGCTTCCAAGTTGGCCTTCTGATGTGCAGAGACCTATATAATCACTATAGAGATGTCATCCAGTGCTATTTCCTGCCATATGTCCTTACCCCATATCTTCTTATATCCTATTTCCCATTTTCCTGGCATGACCTGAACAAAGAGCTATTCATTTACCTACTGGCCCTGGGTCCAAAAATATTTATATACCTCATTCTGATTTTCCTTAACAGAATGTTCAGTTACCAGTTTTATGGCTGCTAATTTAGTCTATTGTACTGATTACCTTCAGCCTGATTCTGATAGACCATTCTTAGTTCTCAAGGCCACAGACTGCCAGCATACTCTGGATAACAGCAGGGAGCCTGATCCATCTAAAACCATACATCCGTTGACTGATGTGGATCAGGGTGGTCCCTCTTGCCCAACTGTTCAACCTTATGCCTTGAAATCCAGCAAGCCCACTACTGGCATTGGGGAGACATTTTTCAGTTAATACAGAGGTCAACCTTTCATCTGGATGCCCCACTCAGATATGTACTATTTTTGTCTTAGGACCTTATGCTCATGAGTAGTTCTCATTTATTTGTCAGGGGTCTGCTTTACCTACTCCAGAAGGGGTTGTTAAAGTATAATTGGTTTATTTTCTATCAGTGGTTCTGTGTTTCATAAGGCCTCATAGAATGCCTGGGTGAGCCTTTCAATTGGTTGGTGTATGTTCTCAGACAATAGGAACTCCATAGTGTAAAGCCCAGTCAGGTAAAACTTGGGGTTCTGTGGTGTTTCAGGCCACAGTGATGCTGCTGCAGACTCGTGAGTATAGGCACTCTAGTTTAGAGTCCTCGTTAGCTGGTGCCCATGTTTAAACATTCTGACAGCATTTTTCAAATAAAGGCTGCGTCTTGAGTCTCTATCTAAATTCCCTGCTCTTCCTCTTTATTTCATAAATGTGTCTTAATATTATCCCCATAGATGGTATGTGCTGTGGCCAATATTCAAACAGTCCTATCAGTTTGAGCTGCTGCTTTTGTGGTAGGAGTTGATATGCAATCTATATTGTTTCTGACTGGGTGTGGTATTTCTATGCCTTCAGAGAACCAAATTTTGTCTAGGACTTTTACTGTAGCGGGGGTCTTTGGATCTCACCTGGGTCCATTTTTCATTTTCGGAGTGTAAGGAATTCCGTTAACTCTTTACTAGTCTGTTTTTTACTAGTCTTGTTTTTCCCAGTTATCACCATAAATAAGGATGTCCTCAATATATAGGAGATACTGGGTTTTGTGTGTGTTTTCATCAAAGGCCTGGATGTCTTGTGTTGGAAGGTTGTGGGCCACTACTGGGCTGCTAAGGTAACCTTGTGGTAGCCCAGCAAACTGATCTCCTCTGCCTTCCCATGGAAATGAAATCATGGGTTGGCTCTCCTCATCAATTGGAATAGCAAAGAACATGTCACCTAAGTCTCTCACTGTGTTATAAAGTCTGGATCCAGTGGTGATATTGGTTATGATAGTGCCTATATCCCAGAGTGCTCCCTCATTTTGGGGAGAGTGTTTCAATTCCTCTAATCTACTGTAAAATGATATGGCCTGTCTGGCTTTTTAACAGTCCAGCTTGGGCTATTATGTAATGAAATAGTAGGCACATTAATTTGTTCCTCTAGGAGTTCCTCAAGGTTTTCCTGATTTTGAGTATGTTCTATTACATCCACGCCAGGAATGTCTTCTGTACTGGGAAACTATAAGGCACTTAACCTCAGTGGGTGGTCTATCATCTCTTGTTAGGAATCTCCATATCCATGTCCCTGGGGTTAATTTTCCTCCTAACCCTTCCCTGAGTGCTTTGTTGTTGTTCAGTTTTTTGTAGATTAGTGGGCTAGGCTTGTATCATGTTATGAACCCTGTATCTAGCAACATGGTAGTGTATGTAATATTCTTATTTACCAAGGTGTGTCTACTGACATGGCCGGCACAAACTATGCAGCACTGTCTCCAGTATGGGCCAGGAGGGCTCAGCGGTGTGCTCTACTTCAGCTATCAGGGACTTGTCTAGTAATGGATTAGGTTTTATAAAGGGGTTGGAATGGACAGTAAATGGGTTAATGGGTCTATGCGTTTATTTTCGGTAGGTCTATTTACTCTAAAACATTGGTGGTTTCCATTTCTCTGCCACTGTTAGGGTTTTTGGGGTGTCTATTTGGGTTTCTGTCTTTATAATTTTGTGAAAGTGGGGAGGTCTAGGTGGTTTATGTGGCCAAAAGGGCCTTGGAGATTTAGGTCTATATGGTCTATTTTGATGAGGTCTATTTATATTAGGTGTAGGCCTGTTTTGTCTCTATACATGCGTGTTAAAGAAAAAGCTTTTATCTTGACTTAGTTCCTCAGCTGTTCTTATCAAGTCAATCAATTCTCCAGTGTTTCTGGTCCCTGCAAATACTATAAATAATGCTTTCTTGTCTGTGGGGGTTCAGCTTTTAGGATGACTTTTAAATTTGTTCTGGAGCAATGAGGGTGTCTGTCCTCTATTATAAATCATAGTCAAAGGCCTATTTCATTATTGTCTTAGCTTCCCATGCTGTTTTCCAAAGAGATGTTTGAAGGAATAATATCTTACATATAGGCCATCTTAATCTTTTTTTTTTTAGATTTATTTATTTGGCAGAGAGAGTAGGAGGGCACAAGCAGTGGGATTGGCAGAGGGAGAGGGAGAAGCAGGCTCCCTGTTGAGCAGGGAGCCCGATGCGGGGCTCGATCCCAGGACCCTGAGATCATCACCCAAGCCGAAGGCAGACACTTAACTGAGCCACCCAGGCGCCCCCAGGCCATCTTAATCTTTAGGTGGCTGCTACCCAGCCAAACCAAATTCCTTATAAATTCATAGTATTTTCTCCAAATGCTTGAAGGTTTTGATTAAATTTACCATCAGTAGTAACTGGCGCAAGTTGCACAATCTCTGCTCCTGTAAGGATCAGGTTTTGTCTTCCTTTGGACCCTCTTTCATAGCCACTGGATTTCTGGGTCCAGATCCGTTTGTTGGAGTTCCATTTTAGTTTTTGTCATTTCTTACTTGTTACAATCTCTCCCCTCAGTCACTCTGAATGGTTCCATAGTATCATTTGTTGTCGTTTTGCCTATTTTCCTGGGCCTAGCCTCTAGTAAGTTAGTTACCAGGGTGAAAGGGTCCAAGTATTCATTGTCCTTAAGGTGTGGATTGGTGCTTTTAGGAACAAAGGACCTGGGATTCTTCCTTCTCTGGAGATTACTTTTGGTGCTAGTACTTTTCTGTCTATTGGCATGTTACTTCGTGCTTCTAAGAAGTGCACTGAAAAAAAATTTTTATTGCTTTTTTCAAATACAGGCTATAACTCACTGCATTGGGTGATCAGGCCAACATCTGGAGTTTCCTTAATTATAAGTTTTGTCTGGACTAAGTCTTCCATAGGTCTCCAAGGATCCTCAGGAAATTTATAATCCATTGTACCCCTAAGCCACCTCTTGGGCAATTTTGGTAGAGTTAGTGAGGAACGTTTGCAATTGACCTCCTGCCTTTCGAAGTATTTTTCCAAATATTTCTTATGGAGGCCTGATGATGAGATGCATATAGTGCATATGCCAGCCACAGTGGTCAGAGTCGCCGTGGACCTGTTACAGGGCAAGTGTCAAGAGAAACCTGGTCGCAGGAATGGGTCTTGTGGGTACAAGGCATCTGCCTAATTCCCAGCTTTAACCTATTCCAATGATCATATTCCCTCTAAAGGCGGGGCAGGAGGGATCCGGCCTGCCTTACCAGAGCTAAATTGAATGAAATGGCTGAGGTACCTTTCAGTTAAGAGACACATGGGAGCCTGACGGGTACAGAAACCGAGGAAGCCTACCCCGGTAAGTACAATGGGGTGTACGTTTCAGTGGCTACCTCAGTGATTTGGAGGCAGTGGGCTCCCTTTACCCAAAGAAATGTAGGTGGTTGGGGAGAGGCTGTAGCTGCCAAGTGTGGAGAACTGATTGACTTGATAAGAACAGCTGAGGAACTAAGTCAAGATAAAAGCTTTTTCTTTAACATGCATGTATAGAGACAAAACAGGCCTACACCTAATATAAATAGACCTCATCAAAATAGACCATATAGACCTAAATCTCCAAGGCCCTTTTGGCCACATAAACCACCTAGACCTCCCCACTTTCACAAAATTATAAAGACAGAAACCCAAATAGACACCTCGTGCAGGGGAGCAAGGTCAGGATAGCCAGGAATCCAGAACTCGGCAATGTCAGGCCAGCCCAGGTCACAGGAGCAGGCTGTTGGTGGTACCTGGCATTTGCCCAGTTCCAAGCCCTAACCTACACCGAGGCCCATACTCCCTGCCAAGGCAGAATTGGAGGAACCTGGGTCACGTTGCTAGGGTTGAGCCAATCTGACTGGCAGAGGTATCCTCCGATGAGATACAGCTGGGGTCCTGGACTACTGATGACACCAGGGACCTCATCAGGCAGCCAGTCCAAACGTGGGCCGAATAGCACTAGTTTAAAGCTGACACTTCAGGAATCTCTTCAGGGTAGACTCCCACTTCTGCAGGCGGTGATGCAGGTGGCTGGGGGCCAGCCGGAGCTTCACCGGCCTAGAGGGCCCTTGGCTGCCCAAAGCCAACTGCCAGGGTGCATACTGTACAGCCATGGGCCATGGAGATCAGGGAAGCCAGAGATCTGGAACAGGGTGTCCGGAATGCCCAGCTGTTTAGAGTGGATTCACGGCCTCTGCCCGCAGGAATCTGGACGGTCTTGTCAGGGTGGGGCCGCTAGGATAGGCCTAGGAGCCTTGGCCACTGATTTGGGAAAGGAAAACTTTTACTCTTCAAGGTTTTTCTAGATTGTCTAGCAATTGAACGAGAGAGGGGAAGTTGTATGATGTGCATACAGAGGCTCAAAAATGAAATTGAGACCCAAAGCAATGACCAGTGCATGCAGCTTTCATGTTTTAGACAAAGAAACCTAAGTCTGTGAGGAATTTAGAGGATAAAGAAAACTTACATTAGTAAGGAATTCTAAACAGAATCTGGGCTGGGGTAGTAAATCAGTAAAAGTAACAAGGTTTGTGTATATAGGCTTCTCTGGCCCTGAATTCCTTGTCTCTGATAAGAATGTCTCTCTACCTCATGGTGTAGGGAGGGGTAACTTTTTTTTAAGAGCTAGCCAGCATGTACATGTGCCCGTGGAGGGGGGCAGTGGGGGAAGATAATCTCCAGCAAACTCTGCACTGAGGCTCAATCCCACAACCCTGAGATCATGACCCAAGCCAAAACCAAGAGTCACTTAACCGAGTCACCCAGGTGCCCCAGGAGGGTACCTACCTTTCACATGAGAGATTTATTTCATGCTTTCTGGAGACAAAGGAAGGTCAGACAGTTCTTCCTACACTGGCTATATTCAAAATAATTAATATGCCATCGTGGCACATTTTGGGTGGCCAGGCCTGGGTCCTGATAATATGTGAACCTTCCAGGAAAGTTTCAGAAGAGGGAATGGAGTCTGGAGATTGTTCCATCTTGTCAAGCCAGTCTCAGTCCTGACAAGGAATCAGTTCAGTTAAACTCACTTCTGGAGATGGTCTCACAGGTATGTTTTCCTAAGTTAGGCCTGTGGTTCAAGTAATCAAGTATTAAGTAAAATCTTTAAAAAAAAAAAAAAAAGACTTATTTGTCAGAGAGAACACAAGCAGGAGGAGCGGCAGGCAGAGGGAGAAGCAAGGTCCCTGCTGAGCAGGAAGCCCAGTGTGGGACCCGATTCCAGGACGCTGGGATCATGAGCCAAAGGCAGCTGCTTAACCAACTGAGCCACCCAGGCGTCCCTCAATAAGTCATTTCTATAGAGAGAATAAAATAATGGTTAATAATTGGAGCAAATTATAAATCAGTTTCTCCATTCTGAGGGTAGCCACTTGAGAAGATTTCTAGATGTCCATTTCAGAGCATCTTTAGATAGAGTGAGGGCAGGGAGTCACAATCAGATTTTTCTGGTTTGCAGTTTAAATGTCTCTGGTGATCTCTGTACTGATTGCTCTGTAGTCAAAGATTATCCATACATAAACTGTTGTGATTTCTCTGGTCCCGTGCAGTCATTCTTCAATGCTTCAAAAAAAAAAAAAATTTTATTTTTCAATGATTTCAAGTCAAAAGAATGGGAGATTATCAGAAACGTTACTTTGGAAAGATGTAACCAGATGTTTGAGAAACTAGAAGGATTCAGGATCTAGCTTACAGGAAAAAAACAAACCTCAAAGACCGGTAACAGAACTAGAATCTAATATCTAAAAGTTCATAGTTTCAGTTAAAACAATTTTTCTCTAATTATTCCCATCAATTATAACCATAGTAAGATAATTTGTTTGCAAATAATTTCAGTGAATTTAGCTTGATTACATACATTAGTACAGTGAGCGTAGTGACTGATCATGCGGGCTCTTTTAAATCTGCTTTGCTGGAAATTTTCATAAAGCAGCACAGATTGAATTTTTAACAGCCTCTTGAGGCTAAGACATAATGCCATCATGCTTTGCCTGCAATACCTACTGACTTGAGTTACTTCCTTTCTTAACAGGGTCCCCAAAATATCCTGAGGTTCTGCACCTGCCTGGAAGTGGCCTTCCTTTACTTACCTGGTAAGGATGTTGAAATCCCTGTCAGCCAGGTATCACACTGATATTTCCAAGGCATGTTATTGGCTCCATAAAGTTAACCTTAGTTCCTTAAAGCTGTCTGGTCATATCTGAGCCTATGCAGATCTCAAATATGACATTCCTGTCAAAACCTTAGATTCTAATTGAGCATAAATACATATATTTCCATGTGTGTATAAAATGACTCACTGAGAGTTTCCAAATTCTGGGGGAATCAGGTAGGCAGAAGATCATTATTTCAATTTTGCTCACAAAGGTATAATTTACCAAATTGCTGAGGAAAGGTTTTCCTACATCTGGAAAAGAAGGTTAAAAAAAATTTCAAACAAAAAGTCATAAAAATTGTAATTCTCCATTTATTCAGTCCCATTTGTAATTCTGTTGATTTTGATCTTGTTTTATAAAGCTATGGGTTTCTCCATTAGAGTTCTCTAAATTCCTATACTCAGTTCAAATGGTATGATCTTAAGTTATTAGAGACCTGTAATCTAGAGATTCATCAGTCTTTTCCCTGAATCTCCTTGAAGATGAAGCACTTTTGCAAAAGCATCAAGGTAAAACAGCTGTCTGTAAATGACAAAAAGGCTTAGAAATGGTAATGATTAAAGATCTGATTAGCATTCATTACAATGCAATTGCAAAGAAATTGGGTTATTTCTATGATGCTCAGCACTTCAAGATAATAGAATTATACAACATAGATTATATAATATACCCAGACGTTTCTAGAATACTTAATTATATTTATGGAAATATAATCTAAGAAAGTTTAGCATCACTTATTTGACAATGATTCCCCTGTAACTTAATTAACATCTTTCTTTTATGAGGAGGACAAAGCTTTGAAATCTTCCAGGGAGGGGTGCCTGGGTGGCTCAGTCGGTTAAGCGTCTGCCTTCAGCTCAGGTCATGATCCCAGGGTCCTGGGATTGAGTCCCGCATTGGGCGCCCTGCTCAGTGGAGAGCCTGATTCTCCCTCTGCCTACTTGTGCTCTTTATCAAATAAATAAATAAAATCTACCAGGGATCCTCTGGGAAATTGCAAACTCAATAAGACTTCATTTTAGAATTTCATTTTGGGAGGTTTGTCAAAAAAATACAAAATTCAGACTTTTCATTAAAGAATCACAGATCACTATAAAATAATAGTTATCCATTTAACTATAGTTTTTCCTAAGTAATCAAAGACTTGAAGGGTGCCTGGGTGGCTCAGTTGGTTAAGCGACTGCCTTCGGCTCAGGTCATGATCCTGGAATCCCAGGATCGAGTCCCGCATCGGGCTCCCTGCTTGGGAGGGAGTCTGCTTCTCTCTCTGAACCTCTCTCCTCTCATGCTCTCTATCTCTTTCTCTCTCTCAAAAAAAAAAAAAAAAGACAAAGATAAAACAGACTTTTTCTAGATAGATTACATTAAAAGTTAAACCCCTTTGTTTATAATTTATTAAAAGCAGAATAAATTCTGTACTAGCTTTTTATATTAAAATTTAAATAAATCATTTTAATCTGATCCAGCATGGCCATATGTTAAAATTCATTTTAAAGATTCCTTGTTCACAAATGTTTTAAGACTTTTTTTCACATTTAGTCTCACTTTCAGATCTCTTTATCAAAAACACATGTCCTACTTTTCTTGCATATGGAGTTTCCCCTTATTTTTAGTAGTTCTAAATCACAGAAACTTTATAGTGAAAAATAAGTTGTAAGCAATTGTGAACTGTTAGATTGGCAAATTATGAATATATTCATACATTTCTAGAAATGTGCTGCTTCATAACAATCTTCCAATAAAAGTTTTTTCTACCAAAAGACTCTTTACTAGAGACTCAAGTTTGTGATAGGGAAGCCAAAAGAATAGATTAACATATCAGTAATTAATGTTTTATTCTATCTTATTGGTAAATAAATTAATATCTAGATGAACTCATCACTTAGCAAAGCTTTAAGGTTTCAGGCTACCAAAAAGACTTTGTGGAGAAACTATTTTAAAAGTTTATTTACAAAGTCAGCCACTCTTTCATGTTTTCTGTTGTAGAAAAATTCTATAACCTGATCAAACTTCCAGGGAAGATGTCAGAGTAGGAGGATCCTAGGCTTACGTCATCCCCTGGATATACCAGGATTACACACACATCACTGTAAATACCCCAGAAAACCACATAAGGACTGACAGAACAGACTTTTCATAGTTGATCTTAGATAAGCCACATTAAGAATGCCTAGATACATGGACACCTATGGGGACAAGCCCAAACCCCACCCCCCCTTTCTCCTATGAATCTGCCCCCATCCAACCAGCCACACTGGGCAGGAGTTCCTCCAAAACAGCTCCAGGCATTTTTCCACAGCAGGGTTCTTCCTACAAGCAGATGGGTGCAAACTTTGCCTACACTGTACATCCCGCCCTTGTGTTCTCCTGCAGACTGTCCCATCCGACCCACCCAAGAATCCATCCAAAGTGGCACCACAAGCATGGCAGTGTGCAAGCAGCCCTGAGAGGGGCCAGCACCATTCCCAAGTGCCTTAGGGAAAGTGGAAGATAACCATACACACTAGTTTGCAGCCCCAGCAGTGGGCTTGGGGCAGATATCTGGTCCGACTGCAGGTCCCACCCACCACCAAACGCCTCTCAGGGGACAATGCTGGGAGAGCACCCTGCAGTTCAGTGCAGCCACAGTTCTGGCAAATGAGCTGAGGGCAGGCATCTGGTCTGCCCCAACTCAAGCCCATTGTGGCCCCAGACTGGCCCCTTTTAACATAGGGACCAAACCCTGCCCATAACAGGCAAAGAGACATTGCAGATAACTGGACTGAAGTTAAATGCATCCCAACCACAACAGTAGGGTACACACAATACGCATAGCAGATAACCCTGAAACATTAGGTTCTGCTGCCTAGGAGATATCACATTGCAGGGCACCACAGGACCTCTTCTTCATAAGACCACTGATTTCAAAAGCAGGAAACATAGCTGAATTTCCTAACACATAGAAAGACAGAAAGTTAGACAAAATGAGGAGACAGAGGAATATGTTCCAAATGAAAGCACAAGACAAACTCACAGAAAGAGAACTTAACATAAAGGAGATAAGCAATATGCCAGATAGAGAATTCAAAGTAATGGTCATAAAGATACCTACTGGACTTGAGAAAAGAGTGAGGGAATCTCAGAAAATATTAAAAAGAACCACTCAGAGATGAACTCAATAAGTGAAATTAAAAATACACTAGATGGAATAAATAGTGGACTAGAGGAAGCAAAAGGAATGGATCGGTGACCTAGAGGACAGAGTAATGGAAAACTAAATGGAATGAGAAAAAGAAAAAATATTAGAAAATGAGAATAGGTTAAGGGAACACAGTGACACCATCAAGTATAATAACATGCATATTATAGGGATCATAGAAGAAGAGAGAAAGGGGGCAGAAAATTTATTTCAAGAAATAGCTGAGGGCGCCTGGGTGGCTCAGTTGGTTAAGCGACTGCCTTCGGCTCAGGTCATGATCCTGGAGTCCCTGGATCGAGTCCCGCATCGGGCTCCTTGCTTGGTAGGGAGTCTGCCTCTTCCTCCTCCCTCTCATGCTCTCTGTCTCTCATTCTCTCTCTCTCAAATAAATAAATAAAATCTTAAAAAAAAAAAAAAAGAAATAGCTGAAAACTTCCCTCATCTGGGGAAGACAACAAATCCAGATCCAGGAGGCACAGAAAGCCCCCAACAAAATCAACCTAAGGAGGTCCACACCAAGACACATAATAGTTAAAACAGCAAAAAATACTGATAAAGAATTGTAAAAGTAGCAAGAGGGGTGCCTGGGTGGCTTAGTAGGTTAAGCGTCTGCCTTTGGCTTGAGTCATGATCTCGGGGTCCTGGAATCAAGCCTTTATTGGGCCCTCTGCTCATCAGGGAGTCTCCTTCTCCTTCTCCCCCTGCTCATGATCTCTCTCTCATAAATGAATAAAATCTTTAAAAAGATGTTCTCTATTTTTTTTTTTAAAGATTTTATTTATTTATTTGACAGAGACACAGCGAGAGAGGGAACACAAGCAGGGGGAGTGGGAGAGGGAGAAGCAGGCTGCCCGCTGAGCAGGGAGCCCGATGTGGGGCTCGATCCCAGGACCCTGAGATCATGACCTGAGCCGAAGGCAGACATTTAACGGCTGAGCCACCCAGGCACCCCAAAAAGATGTTCTCTATTAAAAAAAAAAAGTAGCAAGAGAAAACAGTTACATACAAGGGAAACCCCACAAGACTATCAGCTGATTTTTGGCATGATATATTCAAAGTTCTAAAAGGGAAAAATCTGCAGCCAATAATACTCTATCCAGCAAAGCTATCATTAAGAATTGAAAGGGAGTTTCCCAGGACCCCCCCCCAAAAAAAATATTACAGAAATTCATACACACTAAATGAGCCTTACAAGAAATGTTAAAGGGGATTCTTTGAGTGGAAAGGAAAGAACATAAGCAGGAGTATGAAAAGTAGGAAAGGGAAAATCTTCACAGGTACATATAAACATGATAAAAATAGTATATGAATCCCTTATAAAACCAATAGAGGTTAAAGCACAATAGCAGTAAAATCAAATATATCTATGAAAATCAGTCAAGGCATTCACAAAATAAAAGAATGTAAAGTATGAAAACATACCTAAAATGTGGGGTGGAGGGAATAAAATGTTTTTAGAATGAGTTCAAACTTTAGTTCAAACCATCATTTTAATATAGACTGCCATACACATAGGATATTATATATAAACCTAATGGTAGCCACAAATCAAACCACAGACCTAATGGTAACCTGTCACAGATATGCTTGGATTCCTTTCTTTTTAGTTTTTGCATATCACTAAAGAAAGCCATCAAACCACAAGATAGCAAAAAAGGAACGGAGAAGAACTACAAAAACAAGCATAAAACAAGTAAGATAATGACAATAAATACACACTTATTGATAATTACTTTGAATATAAATGGACTAAACTACCTAAAGAAAAAAAATAGGGTGACAGATGGATAAAATAGCAAGACCCATCTATATGCTGCCTGCAAGAGACTCATTTCAGACCTAAAGACATATGCAGATTGGAAGAGAAGGGATGGAAAAACATTTATCATGAAAATGGAAGTGAAAAGAAAGCTGGGGTAACAATACTTATATCAAACAAAATAGACTTTAAAACGAAGACTAGTAATAAGAGACAAAGAAGTACACTACATAACCATAAAAGGAATAATTCAACAAGAAGGTATAACAATTGTGGGGATACCTAGGTGGCTCAGTCAGTTGGATGGCTGAGTCTTGATTTCGGCTCTGGTCATGATCTCAGGGTCCTGGGATGGAGCCCTGCATCAGGCACTATGCTCAGTGGGGAGTCTGCTTGAGGATTCTCTCTCTCCCTCTGCCTCTCCCTCCCCCTCTCTAAAATAAATAAAATCTTAAAAAAAAAAAAAAAAGGTATAACAATTGTAAATATTTATGCATCCAACATGGGAGCACCCAAATACAGAAAGCAGCTAGAACAAACATAATGGAAGAAGTCAATAGTAATGTAATAATAGTAGTGGGTTTTAACACCACACTTACATCAATGGACAGATCACCTAGACAGAAAATCAACAAGGAAATAATAGCTTTGAATGACACATTGGCCCAGATGGATTTAACAGATACATTCAGAACATCCCACGCCAAGAGAGCAAAATACACATGCTTTTCAAATGAACATGGAAAATTCTCCAGAATAGATCACATTAGGTCACAAATCAAGTCTCCAGAAATTCGAAAAGACTGAAATCACAACATTCATCTTTTCTGACCACAATGCTATGAAACTAGAAATCAACCACAAGAAAAAAATCTAGAAAAAGCACAAATACATGGAGATTAAATAACATGCTACTAAACAACAGATGGGTCAATGAAGAAATCAAAGAAGAAATAAAAAACATGGAGACAAATGAACATGAAAACATAATGGTCCAAAATCTTTGGAATGCAGCAAAAGCTATTCTAAGAGGGAATTCTATAGTAATACAGGCCTACCTCAAGAAACAAGAAAAAAAAACTCTCTTGTCTGATTGCTGTGGTTAGGATTTGCAAGACTATGTTGAATAAAAATGATGAAAGTGGACAACCTTGTCTTGGTCCTGATCTTAGAAGAAAAGCTCTCAGTGTTTCACCATTGAGTATGATGTTCTAAACCTAACTTTAGACCTAAAGAAGCTAGAAAAAGAGGAACAAAGCCCAAAACTAGCAGAAGGAAGGAAATAATGATTAGAACAGAAACAAATTAAGATTTAAAAAAAAAAAAAAACAGATCAATGAAACCAAAAGACAGTTCTTTGAAAATATCAACAAAATTGATAAACCTTTAACCAGACTCAAAGAGAGAGAGAGAGAGAGAGAGAGAGAAGGAGAGAGGACTTAAATAAAATCAAAAAGGAAAAAGGAAAAATAACACCACAGAATATAAAGGATTGTAAGAGAATGTTATGGAAAATGATGTGCTAACAAATTGGACATCCTAGAAGAAATGAATAAATTCCTAGAAACCTATAACCTCCCTAAACTGAATCAGGAAGAAATAGAACATTTGAGCAGACTGATTACTAGCAATGAAATTGAATCAGTAATCCAAAAACTCCTCATAAACAAAAATCCAGGATGAGATGGCTTCACATGTGAATTCTACCAAACATTTAAAGAAGATACTCTCTTCCAGAAAATAGAAGAGGAAGGGAAAGCTTCCAAATTCATTTTATGAGCATTACCCTGATAACAAAACCAGATAAAGACACCAGAAAAAAAAGAAATCTAAAGGCTAATATCTCTGATGAACATATTATGGAAAATCCTCAATAAAATATTAGCAAACCAAATCTAACAATAAAAAAAATCATTCACCATGATCAAGTGGAATTTATTCCTGGGTTGCAAGGTAGTTCAATATTTACAAATCAATCAATGTGATACATCATGTTAAGAAGAGGAAGGATAAAAAATGATATGATCATTTCAATAGATGCAGAGAATGTATTTGACAAAGCACAACATCCATTCATAATAAAAACTCTTAACAGAGTAGGTTTAGAGTGAACATACCTCAGAATAATAAAGGCCATCTATGAAAAACTCACAGTGAACATCATACTCAATGGTGAAACACTGAGAGCTTTTCTTCTAAGATCAGGACCAAGACAAGGTTGTCCACTTTCATCATTTTTATTCAACACAGTCTTGCAAATCCTAACCACAGCAATCAGACAAGAGAAAGGAATAAAAGGCATCCAAATCAGTAAGGGAAAAGTAAAACTTTCACTATTTGGAGATGACATGATACTATATATAGAAAATCCTAAAGACTCCACCAAAAAACTACAGAACTGATAAATGAATTCAGTAAGACTGCAGGATACAAAATCAATGTGCAGAAATGTGTTGCATTTCTATATGTCAATCATGAAGTAGCAGAAAGAGAAATTAAGAAAATAATTCCATTTACAATTGCACCAATACACATACACACACACACACACCTAGGAATAAACTTAAAAGACCTGTACTGTGAAAACTATAAGACACTGATGAAAGAAATTGAAGATGACACAACAAATGGAAAGATTTTCCATGCTCATGTTCTGAAGGAATATTGTTAATATGTCCAGACTACCCAAAATAATCTACAGATTTGAGGCAATCCTTATCAAAATAGCAATAGCAATTTTCACAGAACTAGAACAAACAATCCTAAAATTTGTATGGAACCACAAAAGACCCCAAACAGCTAAAACTGTCTTGAAAAAGAAAAACAAAACTGGAAGTTCCAGACTTCAGGTTATATTACAAGGCTGTAGTAATTAAAATACTATGGTACTGGCACAAAAATAGACACATAGATCAATAGAACAGAATAGAAAATCCAGAAATAAACTCAATTATATGATCAATTAATCTTTGCTAAAAGAGGCAAGAATATGCAATGGGAAAAAGATAGCCTCTTCAACAAATGGTGTTGGGAAAACTATACAGCTACATACAAGAAAGAAACTGGACCACTTTCTTACACCACACACAAAAATAAACTCAAAATAGATTGAAGACCTAAATGTGAGACCTGAAACCATAAAACTTCTAAAAAAACATGGGCAGTATGTTTTGCACACTGCTTTTAGCAACATACTTATGGATATGTCTTCCGAGGCAAGGGAAACAAAAGCAAAAATAAGCTATTGGGACTACATCAAAATAAAAAGCTTCTGCACAGCAAAAGAAACAATCAACAAAACCAGAAGACACCCTACTGAATGGGAGAAGATATTTGCAAATGACACATTTGATGGGTTAGTATCCAAAATATATAAAGAATTTAAACAACTCAACACCAAAAAAACAAATAATGCAATGAAAAATGGGCAGAAGCCATAAACAGACATTTCTCCAAAGAAAACCCACGGATGGGCTACCTTACAGCCCACAAATGGCGAACAGACACATAAAAAGATGCTCAATATCACTTACCACCAGGGAAATGCAAATCAAAACTACAATGAGATGTCACCTCACACCTGTCAGAATGGCTAAAATCAACAACAGTAGAAACAACAGGTTTTTGGCAAAGACGTGGAGACAAAGGAACTCTCGTACACTGTTGGTGGGAATGCAAACTGGTGCAGCCACTGTGGAAAACAGTATGGAGGCTCCTCAAAAAGTTAGAAATACCTTATGATTCATTAATCTCACTACTGCATATTTACCCAAAGAATACAAGAACACTAATTCAAATGATACATGCACCCTTATCTTTATAACTACATTATTTTCAAAAGCCAAGATATGGAAGCATCCCCAGTGTCCATCAACTGATGAATGGATAAAGAAGAGGTGGTTATATAGAGAGAGAGAGGGAGAGAGAATAGAATATTACTCAGCCATAAAAAAGAATGAAATCTTGCCATTTACAACAACATAGAGGGAACTAGAGACTATAATGCTAAGTGAAATAAGTTAAAGACAAATATGCTATGATTTCACTCATGTGGAATTCAAGAAATAAACAAGCAAAGTGAAAAATAAGAGAGAGGGGAGAGACAAATCAAGAAACAGACTCTTAACTGTAGAGAACAAAGAGATGGTTACTGGAAGGGAAATGAAGGGGCATGGGTTAAACAGGTGATAGGAATTAAGGAGGGCACTTGTGATGAGCACTGGGTGACATATGGAAGTGTTGAATCACTATATTGTACACCTGAAA